CTCTCTTCCTTGCATAGTTACTAGGTCGACCAGGATTTCCTTTTCTCCATGGTGGGGGCAAAACAGGTAATCTGTTTAATCTTGACCACAGTTTCATGCCTTGTACAGGCGCAATACCATCCATATATGTTTCACGCCACTTCTTTGTTGTGTAGAATTCATTGACATAGTCTTCAACCTTTTTTTTCTTTGCGATGATCACATGTGCAGCATGAACACAAGGAATACCAATCATTAGCCACTTTCTGCAACCACAAGTTAGCGTGTTCATATCCACACGATAGCCAACACCATTCAACTCAACTTCATGTAGATCATTCCTTGCCATATGTCTGATACAATGCTGCGCCCCTGCTATCATTTTTTCTATCTCAGTGTGAGCTCTCTTGGTGAATTCTGACTTCAATCTATTTGCAATAATAGATCTCTTCTCATTCCGATCTATACATTGTCGCCTAACCTCTTCTAAGAAGTCTAATAAAGGTTTTCTCCTTGCTTGATGAATGGTTCTATTAAAAGACTCGCTCAGGTTGTTCAGAATATCATTGCAAAACGAACCAATCCTAAAGAAAGCTCTAGACCACGATTCGGGATTAATCTTTAGAAGAGAGGCAAATGCATGAGGATTGTACCTCTGTAACGCATCCATATGATCTCTGAATTCTGATATCGTGTAGCTGCGTGCTATTTTCCAGAACAGCGTTTGTAGCTCTCTATCATGATTGTCTCTCTTCCAGTTCTCCATAATGTGTCTAGCACATTGCCTGTGCTCAGCTTGTGGAAGAATGGTCCTCACTGCATTCACAATGCTCTGCAACGTCATACAAAACACATGAGATGAGTACAAAATAGTTAGAAGCATCAGACAAATTTTTAAAAAAGTTTATAAAAGCATCAGACAAGATTCAAACCCGATGCTTGTCTGATATGATTGCAACATTTGATCCTTCGCCAAGATTCAAACTTTCACCGAGATGCTGAACAAACCATTCCCAATTTGGATCATTTTCTACTTCGACAACTGCCCAAGCGATTGGCACTATCCTATTATCTCCATCTCTTCCAACTGCAGCTAATAAATGGCCTTTGATATCCCATTTCAGAAATGCACCATCTATTCCTATGATTGGTCTACAAGTTCTTACCCACGACTCCCTTTGTGAATTAAAACAAATATAACATCTATAGAACCTTTGTTTGCTCCCTATAGTAGGCCCTGAAATCGTCTCTATCTCAAACTTGGTGTGAGGATTTGTCTGAAAAATCTTTGCCTGATAATCTCATACGCGTGCGAAATGAGCTTCATGGCTGGCTTTCTTTTCCTTCATAAGTTTTGTCTTCGCCTTTCCACACTGATCATCACTTACAACTAAATTGTATTCTCTCACAATCTCAGCAGCCATCTCTTGCTTTGTAATCTTTGGATTGACTCTCAATCTTTCTGAAAACAGCCATGCGATTGTAGACCTCTTCAACATCTTAGAGTAACCCGATCGGATGCATTTATGTTCGTTTGCGTAAACCTTAATCTGCATCTTGTGCCTTCTCCTCTCATATGAACAATAAACTCTCCACGGACAAGAGACCTTAGTGTCAGCACACTTTGCACCGATCTTCATAGCTTGTGAACTGTACAACTTCACATCATACCGAGTTTTCAGAGAATACTTGAGAACGGCAAGCTTGAAATCTTCTGGTGAGTTATAGGTTTTTCCCAATGCTAGCAGCTCATCAGGATCTTCAACCTCTCTTCGCCTTTCCTCTTCATTCTCCTCCTCTTCCTCCTCATAATCAGATGACAACAGATCGGGAATCCTTTCATCATCCCATATATCGTCTCCATTATCTGCGTCACTCCCAACTTGTATATCTTCCGCTGCTTCTCCGAAATGCTCTACTAAATCCTCACAACCTTCTTCTACTATCTCAATACCCTCTTCTTCTTCACGCTCATCAAAATCATCATCACGAACATCTGCGCCGTCGAAATCGTCGTCTCTGTCTCCAACATCAGGCTCAACTTCAGGTTCAACCACAACTTCAGGTTCAGCTTCTTTAGATGCAGATTTCGAACTCTTGCCCTTCTTTCGTTTTGATGTGGGCATAATTATGCAGAAGGAGCAATCGAAAGGAGCAAATAACAACAAGAAGTTTGATTTGGAGGAGAAGAGAAGAATCAATCGGGAGAGGAGAATTGAGAATTAGGGATTTGATTTTCTGATTTGGGGTTTTATATTTTTCACCACGGCGTCGTTTTACATTAACGTCGGAGCAAATCAACAATTAACGCTGTCTAACTGAGCTGTTAGTGGACTTAACGGGGTGCTTAAAACGGCTCAATCAACAAAATTTTGGGATTTATTTTAAAAGTCAACGAAAAGTCTGTTCTTTGATCTACCCTCGTGAAAGTCTATGCTTTAAATGGCTGAATTTTGAAAATTTGTGCTTAAAATGACTTTTTCAGATTACTAGAGATTGTTCCGCGCTACGCGCGGATTTGTTAAATATTCTTTATTTAGATTATCAATATCAAAATTGTTTAAAATTTTCTGCTAATTCTCAAAAATAAAGTTTAATTTTAAAAATTTCAAATAAATATAAGTGGCAAAAATCTAATAAACAAATTAGATGACTATAAATATATTTAGTGAAAACAAATATATCAACTAAAACCCGTTAAATGACAAAATAGAATGAGAAAATGTCAATAGCCAAGAACAAAAACAGAAAATTATGCTGAACATTCTAGATGCCATTTTAGTATATTTTGCAGTAGTTGACATTTGAAAAAAAAATTATTTGAAGAAAATGTGAATTTTTTTAAAACTATTTATTAAACAAATTTTATAGAATTTTGATACAAATATAAGAGGAATATGCAAATTACCATATATAAGGAGGCATTGGTATAAAAGAACAATAAGCAATCAAGGTTGAAAAACCACCAAGCAAAGACTTGTAAATGACTAAATGTAGATGTTACGACCATGTCATCGTATTTGGGCATCATTGTTGAGCATGTCTCGAAGCCAACGCGGATCATGTCTCGCAACATATGATTAGGATCACTGATCTGCAGTAACATTTGTACCTATAGTGCATAGGTATGTGATTTAACATCCAAAAATTAAAGGACTACAGAAGATTGAGAAGACCAAAAGTGATAAAGAATCCACTAAAAACAACTGAACTTGTAATTATGCTGTATCAATATAATTTACAGACCTTAACAAATATACACTCATCTTTATGGGACGATGACCATCACACAACACAACTAAAGCATAGAAAATTAAAATGTAGATTCACCGTTATGAGAAGTAAAATATACAATGTCTTTTCACATAAGTTTTTTTTTCTTTGGTTGCAAAATTGTAGCTTATACAATTACAGCAAGTAAAATGAAATAAAATTCTAACTCAACTTAGATAACCGATCAATGGAGTGTTTATTCTTGGATCCTCCGAATCAATAGTTTGGTAATTGGTTTGAAGATGAGCTGGAGAGATTTGCTTCCTTAGGCTTTTGGTTAATGCATTGAGGAATAATAGAGTGATGCTTCTTTAGGTCCTAAATAATATTTACCCTGAATCTGTTCCTTAACAATTGTTTCTCCTGAAAGCTTCTGCTTGGACCCACTGCCACCTTTTATCCTATTCATGGGCCAATATATATGCTAAATAATAAGCATTCTACCCCTCTAGTGTTTGAGAAAGTTGATTGATATATCTACGACTGTGTGCAAGAACTCTCGCTTTGCTTAAAAAGTTTGATGGAACTTATAGTTTGATGGAACTTGTACAGTTATATTTCACCAACATTTGGTTCTACTTTATGTAAAAGAAACATTGTATAACTTCGTTTACATTTATGCAATTAACCTTACTAATCAAAGGAAAACGTTATGAAAACAAGTTTACAATTTCTCGTTGATTTTCACTTCTTTGTTCTTTTTGACTTTGCATTCTGAGTGTATAAATATTTTTTTTTTGCACTTAAACCTAGAAATGAGAGTTAGTGCACCATTATTAGAAAATAAAATCAATCTCCAATATTTGATAGATTCCTTTACGTATGTACGATAGTTTAGTTCTTGAGAAGCAAGTAAATGGCTCCCATATGCAGCAATGATATACAATATAAGATTGTTAATGTTGATAAAAGCTAAGGTACATATATTTTTTGTTAATTTTACCTTAACGTAGTATAACAGCGATCTGGAGAAGCTGAAGTTCTCCAAACAATTAATCTCTGATTGATCCTCTACTTATTTTTAAAAGACTTTCTATATGTTCCAATCAAATTCGATATTGTTAAATAGAAAATAACAAAGTTATAAAACAAAGGACATGTCATGAGAAAGCAAGAGATGATAAAGCTAACAACCTGGGTAATACATGAGTCATGATCCCGTTGAATCTGAATTTATGGAAGACATTAAAAGTTACGACTAATTAGTCTGAGAGTTATAATGATAAAATATGAAGATGGAAAACTTAAATTTAGAGGAGATTTGACATACAAACCACTCAGCGTATTTTGAAAAGATACACTTATCCTTGTTTGGGTAGTCCTGTATGAGTTTACCTGATTTCTCCTCCTAGACGGAATGCATTGTAGAATTTGGAAGTGAAAATTGCATTACAAACTGAAGTGGAGATAATAAAACTAAATCCATAAGTTATCTCACGGGATTTAACCATAGAACATGAATGGAACTTTAAAAAGTGATTGTGGCATTATGGGAGACGATAAGTTTAGGGTTGAAACTCTGATTTAATTAAAGATATTTAGTATAACGTTTTTTGGAAAAGCAGAGGAGACATATTCCTTTTTTTTTTTTGTAAACAGTGCTTAATTGAGAATTTAAAATGCTTAATTTATATTTAGAAATCACATTACTGATTTTATTTAATTTCTTAAGAGAAATAGAACTGACATGACATGTTTTTAGAGAGTTTGATTTGTTGATGTGGCTAGTCTAAGGAGTCCCAAATAATTTCTTTTATTTAGTACTAGACTAGATTTTAATCATACGTAAGAGCAAAGGTAAAAAGATTCACAAAATGTGAGCTCAATTAGTGGATCTAAAGATAAGTCAAGGACGGAAAACTAAAAACTTCTAAGTAATAGGAGGACTGTTTGTTAAACGCTTCAAGTCTTTCGCCTGTTTCCAGGTTCTCTCTGGCTCCACGCGCCGCCGCGAAACAACTTAGGAAAATCCATAACTCGGCGGACGTTGAGAAAGCAGAAAGCTCAGAGATGCAAGGAATGTGGATCCAACTATGGAGGAAATACGGCGATGGTTAGTACAACAAGTTCGAGAGTCTGGGATATGATCGAACCTTACCGTCGACGGTCGACCCAAAACCTTCACAACTCTGGTCACTATCTATGTCGCCGCCTTTTTCACCAAGACGACGGCGACTCAAAATCCCCGGCCGATAAACCCGCCGTGGACGGCGGCGATCCTTACCCTTCACTTCTCAAACCTACCGCTGACGAATGTCGAGACGTAAGGGACGCTTTGTTGTCTCTCCATGGGTTCCCTCCCGAATTCGCCAGATACCGCCGTCAGAGACTCCAATCATTCTCCGCCGTAGATGGTCACGATGCACCGTATGCGGTGAATTCGGAGCCATTGGATGCAGCGAAGGAGGAGAAGAGTGAGGCTGAGGAGAGTGTGCTTGATGGGCTGGTTAAAATTCTTCTTTCCCAGAATACAACTGAGACCAATTCTCAAAGGGCTTTCGCGTCTCTTAAAGCTGCATTTCCGAAATGGGAAGATGTAAGCTCTCCGAATTTCATGTTTATTTTAGCAAACCGTTAGGTTTTATTCTGTTTCCAGGTCCTGAAAGATTTGGGAATTAATAAGGTTTATAGGGTTTGTGAGGTTTGGTGATTCATGTTGATATGGTTATGGCTTTGCGTTAAGGATTGCTTTACTTGAGTCCTAAATTTGTCGATATAAACAGTTGTTCTTTTAATCATATCATTTAAGCATGTTCTTGGAAAATTTGGGGGAATTTGTGAGCTTACTTCTACTTAAGATACATTATAATGTTTTGTGAAAAAGGGCATCTTCATATTGTTTAATGGAAAAGATTTGTGTTGGTCACTGGGTTGTATATATAATGTCAATATTGTCTCACTTAAATTTTTTTCTCCTCGTTGAGTTTTGTAGTTAATGTGCTTACAGTCACGTGTATTATGTTCCCTTCGATTGCTTTTTTTTGCCATTTTGAAAAGTCTTCTTTTGCAATCCCTTGTAGGTTTTTGCTGCTGAGCCAAAATCAGTTGAGAATGCTATAAGATGTGGAGGATTGGCCCCGAAGAAGGCTGTGTGCATCAAAAACATTTTGAGCCGTTTGCAGAACGAAAGAGGCGGCTTGTGCTTGGAGTATCTGCGCGGTTTAACTGTAGAAGAAGTAAAAACTGAGCTCTCTCATTTTAAAGGAATAGGACCCAAAACGGTAACAGTTTTTAAGAACCTTCTTATGCTAAGAGCTCCTGTTATTCTTTTGAATCAAGATGATTTTTGGAAACTGACATAGGAGGTGTATTGATGATTGACAGGTTTCTTGTGTTCTGATGGTCTATCTGCAGCAGAATGATTTCCCACTAGAGTGAGTGTTTCCATAGTTCTTGTATTTGGTATATGTTTTGTTTGTTACAAGCAGATAAATAATGAGATACAAAACCGATTGAAACAGGTGTTTGAGATCGCAAAGGCGTTAGGTTGGGTCCCAAAAACCGCAGACAGGAACAAAACCTACGTTTATCTCAACCGCGTGAGCTCAAGTTTGATCTGAACTGTCTGTTATATACACATGGTAAGCTCTGCAGCAACTGTAAGAAGAAAGTTGCTAAACCAAAAGCAAAGGCTAAAGAGGTGTTATTGGTTTTTGTATTTTAATGGATTTGAGAATTTAAACCAAATTCAGTGTTGGTTCTTGTATTTTAAAATTTATATTGAAATACAGTGTTATTGGTTCTATGATTTTAAAATCTATAATGAAATACAGTGTTATTAGTTCTATCATTTTAGAATCTAAATATTATAAGGATTTGAGTTTTAATTGAATTTGAATGGATTTGGAAGGATTTTCATAACTAAAATACAAAGACCCAAATACAAGGTTTAACCTTGGTATTTGAGTGGATTTGATTTTTTTCTATTTTGCTGATTTTGAAATCAATAAATTTATCAAATCCAAAGAAGATTTATAAATCCACCAAAATACAAGAACCAATAACCCCTATTAAAGTAGCACTCTTCTGGGGTTTTCTGGTTTAGACCAGGATTAGAAGAACAACACGTTTATTTTGGTTTGGTTCGGTCTTATATCTTTTTTGGCTCTGGTTTGGTCCCTAATTCCTCTCTTGATTTGTTTCTTTTAGGCTGTAACTGATTGTTTAGTTTTATGAATAGGCTGAACCAGAGGAATTTAAAAATATGGAATGCAAATAAATGGAATAATGGCAGTTAAGGGAATAAAATGAAAGGAATAAATATATAAAAAAATATATTAATGGATGAATGGTAACTGTTTAGAGGAATACATTCCATATTGGAATGAAAAAAAAAATGAATTAAAATTATTAGATAACAATAAAATATTTCCATTCTTTACATTCGCATACTTTTTGTTTGGGAATGATTTTTAACTTCATTTCTTTTCTTTTCTCCATATTTCATTGGAATGAAAAAAAAATTATTCCACTCAAATGGTAACATTTTTGTGGAATTCTTATGGAATAGTTCATTCCACATAATTTCATTCCATAAATTAACGTGTACAGTACTGTAAAAAAAAAGGATAACGATTCTTATAACATTGTTATAATTAACCGGCAGATTCTTTTCTTTTTTTTTTCGTAAAACACTGACGAGGTCGACAAGTATCTATACAAATAACAATAAGTTTGCGGTCAAAATGGAACAATACTTAAAATTACAATTTAACCCACATATATTATTGGGATGTTTTTAATTCCTGCGGTTTCGTCTTCATCAAATCTCGGAGTATTGTGAATGTACATAAATTAATATATCCTATATATAAATTGGAATGTGATCAATTTCTCCAAGAAGAAAGTCATCCTTTGTAGTTAGATAATATTGGAATGATAGAAGTTATCCTTTGTACATAAATTGGAATGTGATCTGTATTGTGAATGTACATATCTTCTTCAGCTTAGCTTCAAGGTTACCTTGGTTTTTGCAAAAATTACATAAATAAATGCGAAAAAAATCTCCAAATTTTGTTAGAAACTTCAAGTGATCATTTCATAAGAGTAGTTCATTGGTTAACATAGTGTTGTTACTTGTTAATCGAGATTAATAATATATATCGATGAGCCGTACTAAAACTTGAGGATGAGTCTAAAATTCGACGTCGGATCTTTTTTTTTGGGTGTATATTAATTAAAATATATTTAGAGGTTTCCATGCTAACATGTTTTACCAAATATTTTCTTTTTTTACAAAGTTTAGTGTCATGCAATCTGGCCAAAGGGTTCTTATAAAATATGTGAACACCTAAACTTCTGATCAAACAAGTGGAATTCATGTAGGCATATTTATATGAACTAAAACATTAAATATACATTGTGTGGGTAAAATGTATAATCTACTTTAATTATCGTCATGGTATATTATTGGAATTATAGTGTCAGCCCTCTGTTTATAATATAGTTAAATCTATGATTTGGAGATTAAGGACCACAGCTTCTCATTGCAAATATTTGATCGTGGTTTTAGACCACCCCATTTGATTACTGATCTGTTTAATAATAGCATAAAAGTTATAGACTTATCTAGTGTCGTCTTCTGGTACATATGGACCACATTCACAAACAATTAAATGCACACACACAGAGTAATTGATAGGTTTGGTTATATAATCATTTATAATCAATCAAATTAATTATTCAGATCCCACTAGAAGCTGTGCTTAATTATGTATTACAATGACGTTCGAATTCTCTGGATTGAGAAAATCTATGATTTAGTTTTAGAAAAACTTCTACTGTTCTTTTAAAACTTAAAACTTGCTTAAGTTTAAAGCTAATATGAATCACAAACTCTTTTAGGTTTAGTTTTTATTTTGTTTCCACATTATTTGGATACTTTTATTCTAATAAGTTCTCGTTTTTTGAAAGTCGAATAAATCCGTGTTTGTATTTGACACTATGTGGAGGCTACATCTTATAAAACCCTGAATCATTGAATTAAATATTGATAAAATAGTAATTTACACGTCCACAAGAGTACGACTGAATATATATTTGCCCCAACTTCAATAGACCACAAGTAGTTTATTCATGCAAAATATAGGAGAACCAATTTGTTATAATCAGGTCAGCATGAAGAATCTCAAAAGAATCTTTGTTCGTACCCACATAATTGGTCCTCAACTAATCAGTTTTTTAGTTTACTAGTAACAATTTTTCAATTGGGTATCATGAAATACTGAACCCAAAATGTTTTTAAACAGAGTTGGAAATGACTTTCGATGGAGACTCCAAATAATTTGCTTATTTATCTTTAAATTTACTAGTTAATTGTACGGATTTCTCAGTTGGCATTTTCTTCTGTACTCTTTGCCTTATATGTAATATGCATAATTGTCTGGAATTATGTAGATTTTAGATTTTATATAGATCATAAACGTTTTCAATGTCATTTTTGATCGCATTATGTTCATATTTCCTTTCCTCTTAAATTTCCAACTTCTGTTTAACTTCTTTTTTGTTATTATAAAGTCATCCTATGACATTGCAATATATAATACTTTTGTTTTTCCTTTTTCACAATGATTTCCAATTTTTTTTTCTTTTTCATATTTGCTTCCTTTTTTAGAATTTTAATTTTTCTAATTTTAATTACAGGAAATCTTGGGAGAAAAAAATGGAAAGAAAAATTCATCCAACTCACTTATTTACAAGGTAACGTACTAACGTTTATGTGTAAGCGGTTAACCCTTCAAAAAAATAAAAGTCTACGTGTTCACCGAAAAGGCACACATAATCTTATAGTAACCGTCGCAACCCACTTGCATTATAGAAGTTTCCTTAATTCTACATTGTAAAACCCGAAGAAGAGAGTAAATAAATCATTAATGGGGATTAAGTGTTAAAGAGGATCAACAGAATGAAGACGAAGGCAAAGATAAACTCAGTCTTAGAGAAGAAACTTGAAGAACTCGAGTCTCTACGCGAAGCAATCACTTTTAACGACGATGATCCCAATGTCTACCGAGATATCGAACTCCGAGTAATTTTCGCCAAGACCCTTTTAGCGGCTGAGATTTCATCACGAAGGAATGACATGGAAGGAGAAGAAGTCACCGAAGAAAGGCTGAAACTTGCTTGCATGGCCAAGAAGTTGAACGAACTCGAGGAGGTTTTTAAAGCCAACCTGTTTTTCGATCATCATAATGATTCGGTGATTGAACGGGAAACGGGAAGTATGGAGACTAATGGTGGTGTTGTCGACGGTGAAACCGGTTCGGTTTACTCGTGGGTCGAATCTTGTTTGAATGAAGTTGGTCAAACAGAGGAAGAGGAAGAAAAAGAAGAAGAAGAAGACGCCGAGCAGTGGCCATTGTTTCAAGATGCGTCATCGGAGGAGAAGAAAGAGGTTACGTTTCCGACGGTGGCGGTGGAGGAGGAAGAGGTGGTGGTTAGAGAAGTGAAAGAGAAGAGGCGGTTGGGTTTTAGGACTTTGGTTTGTTTGGGTTTAATTGGTTTAGTGGGTGGGATGATAAGTTTATTAGGTTATAATTGTGATGACATGACAGATGATGGTTTTTTTCTTACCCCTACTTAATTTACTTTCTTTGTTTCGATTTTCACTCTATTATTTGTTGCATTCTTTTCATTTTTGCTACTCATATTTATAGATCGTTTGAGGTTTTTTTCATTGCCACAAGGCCTACAACCACAATTTCGTGTATAAACATTTTTTTAGAAACATTTTACATTAATTAGTCGTTATAGTGGAATGTAGACCGTATGATTTTGCATGGTTTGATAAAAAGGGTATGCATTTTTTATCTAAAATTGTATATAAATGATTTCTATTATTAAATTGTAAGAAAGCATTAGGAAAAGAGAGACTGGAGAGAATACAAGTCATGCTGTGCTACTTTTTTTTTGCGCTTTTGCATCCACTAATAACACCATTGCCGAAAAAGTTAATGCTATGAAGGATGCAGACACATTAATAAAGTACGTAAATTCCTAAAATCTATATTTTTTTTGTCATTTCATTAGACTAATTGTGATGATAATAATATAGTACCGTTGTTTTTGCCAGAGTAAAATAATATGCTTAAATGTACAAAATTTGAAATGATACAAACTCGAAATTCATTAATATAAAAACTTTAACCACTTTATATCGTAACAAAGGATCATAACAATCGCTATTATGAATCAAGCTTCATGGGGCCTGTTGCAGCGGTCCTCGTTGCTCTCTCTGTCTTTTTTTTTTTTTGGGTAAAACTCTCCCTGTCTTCTTTGAAAGGAAATGATCATAGGATATTCCAAATTTTTGGTTACACACATAATTATCTCGAAAATTCATGATTCAAGTAAAAAAGAGTATTAAAATAAGATCTTGATTTTGTGGCTTGGTTGGTTAAAGTAATTAAGATTAAACCTTTTTAAGATTGCACATAATCTACAGAAATTTAATGTTTAATCTTTCCATCTCTGTTTTGCTGCTTAAATTTGTTCCGCGGATGTCCTTTTTTTCCGGATCATTCCGTCTGATTTGAGGAAGCAAAAAAGGATTTACAAATAGACTCTAATATAAAGTTTTATGTGATGACTTCTTCACTCCAAGCTTTTCCTGTAATTACTTTCTTACTTGTGACGATGGAACTGCAAAGTGATAATCTCAGCACTGATGATGAGTCATTTATGAGAATTCAGTGCTAAGGAGTTGCATTCTATTTGTGTGCTTTTCCTTTCCTTTTGTTAACTTACCTGATCCCTGAAGTCTTTTTCTGCTTCATGTTTGTGGGGTAATCTTAGCATTCTTCTCACTGTGTTTTAGGAAATCCATGACTACTTGAAGACTATCTGCCCTGATTTGCATTTAGTTCGAGGGGAGTTTGATGAAGACGCCCGATACCCTGAGAACAAAACCTTGACTATCGGGCAATTCAAGCTGGGACTGTGCCATGGCCACCAGGTTTCAGCTTTTCTTCTCTTTCGCATTTCATGATGAGCATTTGCAGCATATGAATACTCCCTCGTATCATACATACATAGCAGCATACTGAATCTCAATCGTTTGTCTGCTATTTGCAATGCCGTTCCATACAATTACAATTATGTGGCTTAAAGTATATAATAATAAAATTATCATAAAAATAAGAAATTTAAAATAACAATA